TCTCAAATTTCAGTTTTCCAATTCAACTAATCAATTAGGGTGCTGCGACAGCATGCTTTGGCTGTGAAGGAACAGGGAAAGGTTCAGTCTGTGCTGAACGGTAAAGGAAAGGAAATAAGCACAATGTTCAAGTAATAGGTTTATTCCATGCTGAAAAAAAGAAGAAAGAGAACACAGAAGAGTTAATATATTTAACTCTTCTTCTCTTCTTCTTTTTTTCAGCATGGAATAAACCTATTACTTGTTCCTTTGCAGCCTACGCATGCTGACGCAGCTACCCACCTGAACTATAAGCACAATGTTTGGAGCCTTCGTCAGGTGTGAGGACATGAAACACAGGAGCATGGAATGAACCTTTACCTGTTTCTAATTCAACTAATCATTTGCTGATCTGCAGAGGTTTAACGCTGTTTTACGTTTTTCCCCGGGCTGTGTAAAGATACCTGCAAAACACCACAGTCCTCCGAGATATTAGTTGTGACCCACTGCTTGAAGAGAACAAGAGATCAGGAAGCCTATTTTGGGCTCCTGTAATGCTTCTGCTGCCAAAAATGACTGGAGTTGAATGTCAGAGTCCATAGCATGGCTTCTACAGTAAGTGGTGACAGTATCCCATGAGCCCTGCAGCAAACAGCCAATATATTTAACTCAGCTTGTTCCGGGAACAGGTTTCAGCATCATCAGATTGTGCCTTAGCATTAGTTTCCAGTATGTTTCCAGTCAGACAATAAACCAGTTTGGGTTACCAAAACCCTTTCAACCCCAGATGGACATGGCCAAATATAATTTTCTTCTGAATGCCATGAAAATCTGAAACAGTTATAATAATTATCCTTAATAAATTGTACTATTGAGTAATTCAGTTGAAAACTGGAGAATGGAGACAATCTTTCCTATATCTTTCTCAAAGTCTGATGCCACTAAAATAGGCCAGCATTATCAAAGAGAGTCTGACTCATGGTTTTCAGGTATTAGGGTGATACAGAAAGAATGTCTCACAATTAGATACACTTGTTAGCCTTGCAGTCCTGCTGACAGTATGTTTGAACTGTTTAAAACAGGCCTCAGAACTCTGTGTCAGTATCAAAAGATAAAGTATTCTCAGATCCACTCCCACCCACTTCACAGTCTATTATTGGAGACTGAAGTATACACTGAAACTTTTCTTTCATCACAACTTTACAGATCACATTTAAGGCCAACAGTTTAACATGGCTTTCTTTGGGTATAGAAAAACATTCACATTCCGGGATGTATTTGCCTACCACAACATGGGTAGTCACATGTTTAATATAATCCATGCAGAGACAAGCATCTTTTTTATTCTCCATGATATGCTCACTTGACCTCAATGACCTGTCTCTGGAAATTCTCCCTTTTCTAAATAAAAGCGTTTGTAGTCAGGTCATGTGGTTATCAAATTAAGAGCAGCAACACTCAGATCTGGAGCAATCTGTATGAGAACACACACAACTGTTCTCATACACCACAACAAATCAGCAGATAACAACAGTGCAGTAATACAAGGCTATAATTCATACTATTATACCACAGTGATCATGGAGGAATCGTATTTATTTCATTAGTGTGACAAAGCTGTTTATTAATCTCAGTGTAGGCTCCACAAAGCAAAGTAATGTGTTAAAGTAATGAGCTGGAATTGTGGACAGCATTCTATACTGGGTTTAGCAATGTACAGTATTTAGATGTATTCCACAGATATAGATAGATAGATGATACTTTATTAATCCCGTAGGGAAATTGATGATAAGATCACTTTATTAGCCATATACAATTTCTTGCATTAGGAATTTGTCTTTTTGCGTACCCTAGCTTGCTCTCCATGAGACACCCAGGCACACAGACAGGGAGAGAAGTTTGGGGTCAGAGCGCAGGATCAGCCATTTATATGGCGCCCCCGGAGCAGCTAGGGTTAAGGGCCTTGCTCAGGGGCCCAGCGGAGTAGGATTCCTCTGCCGGCCGCAGAACTTGAACCAGCAACCTTCCAGCCACAGGCGCAGATCCTTAGCTACACTGCCACCGCTTGGTTATACAATATTGAATATCATACAAATCACATATATCTAAATATCACTACAGGGGAAAGAAATTTAAATCCAATGCAAACATACATACAGTAACACAGCAAACAATTTTTCCTCACACATTAATTAGATGAATAAGTGAATTCTTAATGAATTAATTGGATGAATTAATTAATTCTTAGCGATCATGCCTGGAGTTTAGTATAAAGAGTAGCACACTAGACATTTCCAGTCAAAATGAAAGCTTCTATGTTAATTCACCAGAAAAAAATATTAAAACCGTCTTAGTTAATTCATTTTTATAGCATCATATCATATCATTTTTATTGGAGGAGCTCCTGCCATAAAACATCTCCTGGCCACACAATCTGCAAAATACTTGCAACTATAAAACAAGACAGAAGCCGCTATACAGCATGCCCAGGAAGAGAGTATTAGAGTCTCCTTAGCAGATCACACATTCACAATAACTTTATTTCCTAAATCTGCAGACTTCCGTAGCCAAGCACAAAGAAAGAGCCAGCGTCCCTAATAAATCTATGCTGAGACAAATCCCCAATGGAGATTTGCAAGGACATTCTCCACAGTTATGAAGCTGCTGCTGCAGATGTACTACTAAAAAAATAATTTTTAAATCATTAAATCCCAATGGCTTTTAGAGAACTCCTGTGAGTATGTGCTATGGACAACACAATCGTCCTCATTTCATTTAATTCTTTGTATAAGAAGGGCTATAGAGATGGCTGACCTGAATGACTGGTAAAGAGCCGTGAAGTGTCAAATCAAGTCTCTGCTAAGGAACTACTGTACCGTCCACATAAGGGGCCACTTACCATACCTGGGCAATTTCTTTTCAGACTGGAGGGAGAAATGATGTACGCTCTCATTCTCAATAAAAGTTTGGGGTGTTAATTGCTGAAGACAGTGGCCAAACAAAGGGGCACCAAGTATGTATATTGAAAGCAAGGGTTTCCACACAAGTGTCATGTGTTAATTAAGCAAGAGCAAGTAATATCCCAGCATGCTTACAGTAATGTACGGTACAAAAATGCTGGACAGGCCTGGTTATCTACAGTATATATAACTGCATGACTGCAAGAGGAGACCTCAGTGACTATGAAAGAGGGTGATTGTTGGGGTGCATTTGGCAGGAGTTTCAGTGACTAAGACAAGAACATGATGCAGCAACAATCCTTCTCAGCAAAAGAGCAACTGCAGGTTCAGGTACTGTATCTGGTGCCTGTGCTTGGCTGAGGAGCCAGTGGGGTGAAGCCGCAACCTGTGGGACTATGACTGAACCCCTCAAACTCAGAACTCCTGCAGAATGGCGTCTAAGATGTTGTCAGTGTGGATCTCCCAGGGAAATCATCTGCACAGGGCAACAAAGGGCAGAAACGCACGTCCAGGATCACAATACCCGTGGATCAGTTCAAAGTGCAAGGCAGGTGACAGGTGAGCCACTGCAGATCAATTTCAAGCAAGAGGAGAAGCAGCCATTTTCATCAGAAACAGCCCACCAAGACCTCCACAGCGTTTACAGAGTACAAACCCTTTAAAAATGTATGGCATATTGTGGAACAATGCCCGAGACACTGATTTCTACAGTACCTCCATCAGCCAAGTGTGAGTTGATTGAGTTTCTTGTGGAAGAATGGTGCTGTGTCCCTCAGGATGCTGGCAAACTCTGTGCCACAGAGCCTTCAGGCTGTATTGGCCACGTGCCATGGCTGATAAGTGGCTTTACATTGGTGTTTCTATTTTCTTTTATGTCTTGGAGAGATGGTTAATAATGCCACAACATCGCCATTTTCATTAACAGTTATTTGTGTTATATAAGAGGGGCTGAAGGTAATGTGGAGGAATGTTTACTAATATCTGAAGGAACAGAAGAAAAATAACACAGAGATTATGAATAGGTTTGGGCAAAAATGTCCTCTGTTGTAGTAAGGATTGTGTTTCCCAGAGAACAGGAAAGTCAGAGAGGGGGATGGAGGAAGGGTTCAGCAATAATGAGGCAGACAAAGCAGCAACAGTAAGTAAAGAGCTGCTGTGATTACAATGCAACAGAGTAAACTCTTCAGGTGTGAGTCTGTGTTCGTTGCATACTGATAATGCAAGTCACTCTGTTTGTGTGCAGTTGTGCAAAAATGTAAAAAATGCTGTGCATCCAGGTAATTCCAGTCTATGTGCAATGCTCAATGTGTGCAGATCGTGTACCTTTACTCTGAGTACTGTCTGGCCTGCTTGATGTTGGCACAAGTACTAATGAAAACAAATATTCTGGTAGCCCCACATAAGGGAACGGGCAGCACTGTGTGCGAACACAGTCTCGTTGATTAGATATGCTACCACTCCATCCTAGGTGCGTTACCAAAATACTGAACTTGACAACTGGGGAAAAACAGAGATGAGGGCTCTTTCAAAAACATCTTAACAATCATTCTCAACCTTGTTTTTCCTTTTGTCCTACTCTGCACCCCATCCAGGGGTGGAGGGAGGACGTGAGGTGCCCTCTAGTTCAGCTCCTGCTACAGAAACCAGGTGCAGAAGAATTGGAGCTCCTGCCCGTTTAATGGCAGGAAAGATTTTGGTTTCAAAATGTATTCTGCCAAAAAAGAGACTTTCTCTAGCTCTGCATTTAGCACAGCATGGAAAGTATGAGCCACCCATATACTACAAAATCCCCTGGACATGGAGGAAACTGGTCTCAAACTGTCTAGAAGACATGTTAGCTACTTACTGTAGTGCGGCAATTATTTTAGTATAAACACAAAAAAACATTTTTTTCTAAACAACCAAGAAAATAACTGGCTCAGCTGTGGACTTCTTCCTTTCACATCCCACCCTGCAGTCAACAGCTGCCACCCATACCCATGCCCAAGCGCAGAGCCGCGCTGCCGAGCGCTGCTGCTATCGCTGAGCGCGCCGGCGGTCGCAAGGGAAGAGGACACTCACTGGTTGCGCTCCACCTGCAGGATCAGCTCTCTGCCCTCGGCCATCACCGCTACGGCTCCCGCGGCCGGGTGCTGCACCTGCAAGAGTGAGAGCACAGGACGCCCGATCAGCGGCAGGACAGACACAAGGGCGGAAACGCACACGAGTGCAGGCAGCCCAGCGTCAGTGTGCCACTGCACACCTGCGTGCCTGAAACAAGGTTTGACACAGTCTCTCTTTGTTATTATCACCCCATCCGTCCATCCATCCATTTTCTATCCACCTCTTCCAATTCAGGGTC